GCAGCCTGAACTTTTCTGAATATATTTCAAACGAAATATCTCAAACGAGAAAATTTATAGGTTTTATTTTTCGAACCTTTTTCATTGTGAATCACTTCTAACATATATATGTAGGGTTATAATTAGGAACCATTTCGTAGTTTGTCGTTTTGTACACCAGGACAGCATGAGATGCACAGTATATTAAATGCTTGATAATGCTTATTTAAGTCACAACTTTGCATTCGAGGATACAATACCTAATACAATCAGAATTCAGTAATGAACGTTAAAACGACGTTCAGGAAACAGTTGGAATGTCCGTAGGTGTATGACTTAGGATGAATAACTGTTACGGTGTTTTCAATCCATATCTTACCCCGTGGTGATCTGAAACGAATGCTTTACTGAGCACGTTCAGTTAGGGATTGTTCAGTAAAACGAAATCAGCATTAATGTCGACGAATAGCAGGGCGATTCGCTTCCAGGGACTAATTTACCGCTACACAAACAACAAAACCGTATTACTTTCAAAAATAAAAGATGAGTTCATCAATCAAACCACAAAGCTACTATAAATCAGAGAGTACAAAAGCCATCAAATTTCCATGATATCGGTACACTTAATTCCGTATAATGACTTTACCTCCCTACTCTAGTTTCTCAAACCAGTCTACACGAAAACGATGTGAGTATGTCATAGACATTAAGAGCTGGACAACAGTTTTGTCCGCGAACCGAAACCAAGTCAAATTGGAATTCAGGAATAAGTACTACCGAAGTTATGTTGGAATGATGATTGGCCTATCGAGGAGTGAAGTCAGCTTGCTGATTGATACAAGGAGACGCGTTGCATGGCGTACCTCTCGATGATTTGATGCGGATGTCTAGAGCTAGGATATGTCCAGTATAGCTATTGAGGTCAACATTATTGTCGAAGACTTACAGAACTATTTATTTTTGAGATTTATTTACCGCTACAGTTCTTTGGATTTGGAGGAAGATATATATCTCTTTAAATATCTCGAAATTAACGTATACTGGTTGACCTCCAACTATTACAGGAGACAGTCCAGTTTTGGACACCAGAAACGGGTATTTAATCCTTCCTGAAGATCAAGGGTTGTCTCCATTGGTTGGTAGACAGTTTGAGTAACAATTCAGACAAACGTGATCACTTCAAGTCAAAACCACTGTGCAGTGGGTCTGACTGCCTCAGTCAACTGCATTCTTAGTTCATTTGGAAGTAGACGAACTTTCATTCACTCTCAAACACAAGACTTGTGAAAAAGTTACTGGATCCATGCGAAGTTGCTTACCAGGATGGTCTAAGATCTCCTGCCTAATAACGTGATAGCTGCTAAGATGCAGAAGGTCTTCTTTCCTGAAGAAAACATGCTCATTCAAATAACGGGACATACAGACTCACAAACAACTGCCAACCGACTAATCGAGTGGCTGGACCCACATCCATTGGACTCTACCAAATACCTGGAACTGTACCGAAAGAACAGAATCAAGTGCAGAGTAATTAGTTGGTTTATACTAGCTTGTGATATTGGATATATTGGCTCTCAAATGTAGTACACTAGCCAATCTACAAAACAAGGTTTGAGTTTTGAATTTGACATAGTAACAAAACAGAGGGTAAAACAAATACACATGTACGACAGGTTAGTAGTTTTGTCGTTTTCGATGTAAATGTCAGCATCTTTTCAGCCAAATAGCATATAACCCCAGTTCATTGTGAAAGAATAATATTGAGGAAATGAATAATTTACCTAACTCAGGAGAAACTTAAGTTAATTTGAGTTATTAACTCCGTTAACTCAAGCAACCGAAATAGAAAAAAGTAAAAAGGAACTCTAGAAGCTCCTATAATTCTCGCTAGAAAACGAACTATAAAGTTATTTCGTATTTCTTTTTTCTGAAGTTATATGTTTAAAGCTTTTGATTCCTCTTCAGCTGATGAGAGAAGGTGTCAGTCAGTCAGTCAGTCAGATGCAACGTAGAACTTTGTACATAAGTACATCACTTCATGTTGCCATACCACGTTAAGTCCTTCTCACCAAATATACTTTACTTTATATATATATATATATACTTTAGGTGATATACTTTAGGTAGTTTTAAGGACGATATATTTCATATTTTCAAACATTTCTATCGCGTTTACCGACGTGCTTCATGTAATCTTTCATCTTGAACAAAATATAAGACCAAAGTGGATTTTTAAACTAAATTTACTCATCCAAGATTGAGCTGACAAACAACTAGACCAAATAATAAATAAATTGATGTGACTGCGAGTTAAAAACCCAAGTTAAGTTGTGAAAGTAAACGTGTTTTGCTACTGCTGGCCCAAAGTACAGAAGGACTAGCCGATTCTCCATCGCCTTCAGTGCAGAAAATCCTCTCATGTATGTTATTTTCTCTCGACTTCAGATGCATTGTATTCAGCACTACGCGTGAATAACTCGTCAACCTACTTGCCGTCTTCGTCACATTCTTAAGTGTCTTATGTGATAAATCTGGTCGTAAGGTGACCAACTAGATCACAAATTTTAGGAGCGATAGTGAAGCTCCATCTAGGCCATAATTGTGGATTTGAACTTCTATGCAAAGAAAATCAATCTGCATTCATTTTCAAATATATGTGATTGAAATATATAACAGAAGGCCATTATTCACTATGTTGTAATAGATATTTTTGTAATTCACTGTGGTAGTAAATGCCACTACTAGTGAACTCCTGTTAAATGTTTACACTTGTTTTTGACACACTTCGAACACTGAGGCCAGTGTGGCAAGTATTTCCTCAGTGAGTTCACGTTGGTATCAAATATCTTGATTGTGATGTCTTCGCTATTCACAGTTCCAACAGCCAGTTCATCCATCTTCCTGCTAGTTTGAGATCTAATAGCTGTCAGACGGTTAAGTAGGTCTTGTTTACATTTCAATGATGTCCAAGGGTCTTGTAAGAGCGCTGCCACAAGCTGCTTTACTATTACATGATATATATGGGACATGTTATTACAGGGTTAACTGCCGATCAAATAAATTTGATCCACATGGATCGCCCTCACTACTGTTTTTTCTTCGGCTGCAAGTTCTTTGTTCAGAAGCAGTTCGACTTTTTTCAGCAAACTCACTTTTCATTATATTCCACATTCGATAACATTTGCTTTGACGATCAAGGATGTCAAACAAGTCAGAAAGAACTTCATTGTGACCGATTCGGTTTCGTGTGGTTTCATGGGTATGTGGGCGGATATTACTTCTCCGCTGCCCACACCATGGAAGGGTTCTGGTTGTCAGAAGGGGAATCAGCCTCGTGGCTTCCGAAGGAACTCGGCTTTCATCATGAAACGTCGTAATTCTTCTGAAAGAAGACCTAACTCTCAGAGTAGAGTTCATATGGCTTAAATAATTTTTTCTTGTTAGCGTTTTTTTAGCGAGTTAGTGTTTTGCGGGATGGGTTCGCCAACCCCATTCCCGACCCTTCTCCTTTATCCGGGCTTGGGACCGGCAGTAGCTCCGAAGGGTTTACAGGCGGCAGGACCAAAACACGGTAGAAATCCATGAAGTCACAAACATTGGACTGAGTCATGTCGGTAGGTGTCAGCTACCTGGTTGTGACCCGCAAGATGACACTAATCGATGTTTAGAGAACCTGAATGACATGGCTCAAAGCCGTTCGCAATGGCGCACGTGCATTCATTGTTTGTGTTCTTTCAAATCCTAACCTTCTGAATTCCTCATCACCTTTGTTTTTTTTCTTTTTAAGTCTATTTCACTAGATTATACTTTTTTAATAATATCTTCTAATCTTAACCTGCCCGACAACTGCTAATACCTTCACTACCTCTACTACTATTGGAATGGAATTGACAATTACATCTCTGTGTTAATGTCGTATGGCGACTTGAATTGATGTACATCCGTACGAAGTTCTATTTTGCTGTTATAATTGTTGTCAAACAAGTTAACAGTTTTTGTATATCACTTTGCCTTCTCACTAACAGTAACCGAGTCTGTTTGTTTGTTTACGGCAAATAAGTAATTAGTTTTGTCGAGCAAACAAGAAAGACACCCCATTATTTTTCCCTGGCTGGTGAAAAAGGGCAACAATCTGATGCATTGTCTCCCCAATTTAACCCAACTTTATCTATGGATTACACACATAAATTCCTCAAAATTTGCTTTTATTATTTTCTTGGGTTTGTAGGAAGTTTGAGAAATTTACGGTAAATTACTCCTTAGGCTTCTACATGTTGTATAACAAATTTAAGTTCTTTATGAAAATTTTAGATGAACAAATTGCTGTATTTAATGTTTCATATCGATAATACTATAGAAAAATAGCTGGAACTGTAACAATCAAACATTTCAATTGTGCGATGAATGAAGGTGTACAGATCAAATGGAATAAATGTTTTATTTAGATAAGACAGTTCACTATCAATATATGTACACCTAATTTTCAGACATTCATTTGCAAAATAGATTATTGGCTGTCTTTCATATGTCTTCTAGTCTTTCAAACACTTTCATCGTGCCATTCATTTGGATCCGACAGTTTTTACCAGTAATAAGTTCTGGGAGATACTCCCTCGCACCCTATTCATAAGCCACGTCACAAGTAGTATGAACCACAGTCGACATCAATTGACTATTACTTATCAGCGGAAATTGCAAGACTCCATGAAAATCATTACCTTGAATAGCACATCTATAGGCTAAAGAAACTGAATCAATCAATTTTCGAGGCTCCATTATAGGTAGCTTCTTCTGTTTGCAACTAACCTAAAGGTAAATTTCATGTAGCCAGGATGTGAAGGCTAATATATTTGAAAATCTAGAAAGGAGAAAACAATATAAAAGTGAACTGATTACTTGTTTTTGGACCATGATCAACTGTAGGTGTTTCGAAAAATAATTATTCAGAAAAACTTACAAATGATAATTTTTTAAAGCTGTTATAAACCAACTTCTATTTTTCTACAAATTTTTTTATTTTAGATCAACTTCATTTTGATCTCACTTTTTTTTTGTGCAAAAAATGGCTTCCAGTGATGAGTTAAAGAATTATTTAAGAACAGCACTGAATGATGATGGTTTTCTAAGTGAAATTAAAGCTGATATTTTGAAGAAGATTTTTGAAAAAATAAGAAATCAATCACCTAAAATGAAAACATCAACTGTAACAGATACACATTCAAATATCAAATTGTTAATCAATGAATTAATTATTGAGTATTTAAATTTTGAAAAGTAATGTTATTAGACTTTTTCATCGTTACGTTCTCTAAACTCTTATCATAAAGCTTTTATTATATATATATATATATATATATATATATATATATATATATATATATATATATATATATATATATATATATATATATATATACCTATATGAATGATATCAGAAATGACACTGGCCTCGTAACTTCGGAAAAAATGGCTTTCATCATGAAGTGTGGTGAATTTAAACTGTTGGAAATATTTGTGGTGGTTAGTGCTTCTTTTTGTAAGTTTGTTTACTACAGGATGTGGTAGCCAACCTCATGCCTAACCATCCTTCTTTACCCCGACTTGTCACTAGCAGTAACCCTGGAAGCATTCCAGGCAGTTATATATATATATATATATATATATATATATATATATATGTCTGGATGATAATGTCAGTACATATGTTCTAGAGTATGTGAACACAGTTTCTTCTTTACAACTAATGATTCTTGTAGGATTCGGTCTTGTTTGAATAATCTTTTGGATACATGAAATTTTTGATTTCTGTATGTGATTTATTCGCCCAGCCACAATTGGTTAGCGGCTCTTTCTACTTATCATATTTGTTTGGTTTGGAATTGACAATTGATTGTGTGAAGAAATTATCGATTTGTTTAGTCCAGATAATTAGTGCCATATATATGTGTTATAATTCAATCTCACTACAACCCAGTTATTCCTAATGCTTAGTATTCTCGGACACCATCAATTCAGTCGAAACGTCTCCGCCTCTCCAGAATCAGAGCACGATTGAACAGGGAAGAGATTGTATTACAATAACAAGTTTGGATGGAAGTAAGAAGTTCAGCAGGAAAAAAATAAGTTAGTATATTTATAGTTTTACATGAGAAGATTCTAGAATACTCCTCCAGTGTTGGTTGAATACAAAAGAGCCAATCAGCGTGCAACAACTCAATCGTGCATGGAACATGTTTTAATCCACAGTAAAGACCAGATAAACATGATATTAGACACTAGTCATTGGTCGTCCATCAATGTAATACTTACAATTCATAGCAGGTCAGTTGTAGGCACGATTAGTTCAGTAGTAAGTTCTCTGACTGTGGAACTGAATGATATAGGCTCAAATTTCATTGACAGTATCAATTCAATCGGGAATGCACAATTTATTTCTGTTGATTACCAGTTAACATGAAGTCTATGTCTAGGGTTGTTATAAATCTCTCTTTGTAAACCCAGCTGTTGTTCCTATTGCTTACTATTTTCTGACAATAATACACTCGACAAATCCCCAAATCAGAACACAGTTGAATAGGAAAAGATCATATTCCAAATAACAAGTTTAAATGGAAGCAAGAAGCTGAAGCGAAGGTGAAATAGAAACAACGTCAGTATGTTTATAGTAACGACCAGGCGCTGATTGGATTAGATTTAGTCAATCAGTGTGCAGCTAACAACACGAGAATTTCTTAGAATGCTCTCCAAGTATTGACCAGGCGCTGATTGAATAAGAATTAACCAATCAGCACACAGCTAACGCAGTCATGCTTTAATCTATCTATGTCCCGCTAATAAGGGTATCTAGTCATCCATTAGAAATCACCTTACATCAAGAAATCTATCACATAAAACTCTTTCGAGCAAAGAAACATTTTTCACTATCATTACGTTTAAACAAGTACTTATCATCTATTCAATATATATTCCTAACATTTCTGTTTCGATTTCTCTGTTTATTTGTTGGTTGGTTTTTTCCTTTCAGTTTATCATTTACAGAATCTGTTTTTCGTCAAGAATGCGGTCATGGTAATTTACACAATTTGCCTAGACAATTTCTATGTCAAACATTACAAATTAAACCAACTGTCAATATTAAATCGTTAATTCTTCAAGGTGACAATCATACCAATAATAGTAGTAATAATAAACATGCATTGAATGATAAATCTCCAACAGAATTAATTGAACAACCAATCCCTTTATTATATTATATAATACATTATCTTATGGTGAATGGTTTAAATCGAATCGGTGATAATAAGCATTTGTTAAATCAAGAACAGAAATCAACAACCGCCAATAATAATAATAATAATAATAATGGTAATAAGGCAGAAGATCATTTCAATCCGACTGTTGTATTGCAACACAATCTGTCAACTACACAAAAACCATTTAGTTCCGATCGTATTTTTTTAATGCATGAACCAGATAATAATAATAATATTATAAATTGGACAAATTCTGAATCTAATCTGTACTAATCGACTGTCTGTTTTCTTTTTTTTTTGTATAATTGAAATAAATTTCATATTATATTTGTATAGTTGATTTGTTTGTTTGTTTTACTATAGTTGTTGTCATTTGTTCAATGCGCTTCATTGTTCTGTAAACAAACGATGTTGTTTTCTGCCTGTTAATTCTAATCGCTTGGACACCCGAGTAAGCAACGCTGTTATTAGGAAACGGGTGCTAGGTAAGAATGGCAGATCAATAGATGAAGTGGTGAAACTTCATCAGTTGAGGTGGTTGAGACATGTGCTGCGTATGCCTAACCACCGACTGCCTCGTCGAGCTTTGTTTTGTAGTGTAGGAATAGGTTGGAAGAAAGCTAGGGGCGGCCAAACCAAAACATGGCAGAAATCCATGAAGTCATTGACTAGTGGACTGAGCCATGTCGGTAGTTGTCGATTACCTGGTTGGGGTCCGCGAGATGATAATAATCGATGGTTAGAGACCTTGAATGACATGGCTCAAAATCTTTTGCAATGGCGCTGGTGCACTTATTCTTTATGTTCTCTCAAATCCTAATCTTCTGGATACTCCAACACCTCTAGTTTTGACCTTCTAAAGTTATCTCACTGAATCACACTTCTTGAATAATATCTTATAATCCTAACCTCTCCGAATGCTGCTAATACGTTTACTACCTCTTCTACTATTGGATTTGAATTGACAATTACATCTCTGTGCTGATGTGGTATGGCGACATGAACTGATGTACTTACGTACGAAGTTCTTCGTTGCATCTGACTGACTGAATTCTAATAGCTTGGTATTTGGACTGTTTTAGTATGTAGAGCTGTGCACAAGTAGATGACATCTTGTTTAATTTTACTCAGGAAGTATTGGATAGTTGTTTCATCCTAGTATGGGACTCCTCAATAGTACGCATTCACGAACACACCGGGTTTCAGACTCAACAATCTCTACAAATCAGTTGCGACAATAATAATTATGTGTTTACTGGGGATTCATTACGGCAGTTAATCCTCAACCGTCCTAGTGAAAGCCGTAACTCATGGAATTTACCTATATCAGATGTAAGATAAGAATGCAGGAGTGAATTCGATCACAAACAGATTTCCTAAGTACATAGTCTTGGCAAGGCTAGAGAAACAAGTAAACTATGTATAACCGTCTATTTTTCATCTGTTTCCCAAAGTATAAATCAATACAATTAGTACTATAAGATGAATTCATTAAGTTAACTAGAAAATAGCAGCAATAAAGGTAAGATTATAATTTATAAATAATCTTCACGCTAATCTAAAGTCTCCTTCAGTAGCTTCAACCATTCATCACGATTAAAATAGGATTATACTCCAGCCGCTTCTTCATTTCTTGTTATCATTCTATCTAATTAGGATACAAAAAACATCCACTTAACTTACACACCTGTGCTTATGATAATCTTCTACTTAATAAGATTAACTTATGAAGCCTAAATTCCAGTTGAATGCACATAAGTGACCATTGATTAATCTGAAATTAGTTGAAAATTTATTCACTTTTCAATAGCTCACCTAGTTTATGTAGTATCGAATCAAGTCAAGGACTTCAAATAGATGACTACAAAATGAAGTGTGGCATTCCAAAATCAGATCAAAACATTCATCTACAAAAGACGATACGGCTAATAAAAAACAATATGAACATCAATATTTTCAATGTCCCAAATGTCAGGTATTTAAGGTGTTTGTAACGCTGCACGGAGAAGGATCGAGGATTAAGTATGAGTTTGAGAAATTATGTGAAATAACTTACTAAACAGTAAGCTAGGCTAAGTAACAAGGTAGGACTCTGCTAAGTATGTAATGGCGGCCAAAAAGTAATTGAAAAGGCAGCCATGGGATACTAAATATGAAAGCGTTTATGAATTGACAAAGTTTCATTGAGCAATATAGAAATGAAGAGAAACCCATGACTGTAAAACGATCGAGCATAGGCAGCCGACCAGCATTCTCCAATTTACTCTGTCCCAGGCCTTCCCTCCGGTCTATGTACCTAGATATTAGTGGTTGATCTGGTTGTCAGAAGGAGAGTCGGCCTCGTGACTTCCAAAGGATTCGGCTTTCAGCATGAGACGTTATAACTCCTTTAAATGATGAAGACTTAGCTCTCAGGACAGAGTTTAAACTGTTTGAATTATTTATTCTGGTTAGCGTTTCTAAGCAAGTTAGTTTGCTACAAGATAGGGTCGGTAACCCCATGCCTAGTCCTCCTCCTTTATCCTGGCTTGGAACCGGCAGTAGCCCCAAACGGGCTCCAGTCGGAGTTTGGCTGACTTAAGGTTCTCTTAATCAGAATGTCTGATAAGTGAAAGACATTATATAGACGCACTACTAACATTTTCCTAGTAGTATGTTACCGATTTGGTTTATTTTTTTAAATCTCTACTAAATGTTCACGATGAACCACCTACTGATAAACTAACATGTTAATAGAGTCAATTTATCAAAAGTTAGAGCTCATATCAAGTCAATGTGCTTAAACTGGTAACAGTAAGATTCTAACTAATTTAATCTTCAGTAATGTCTTAATTTTATTATTCACACTGTAAAATGTTGCCACTTAACCCTGTGAATGAATTCTATTATTTTAAGACTGGAAAATGAAGTTCTCACTTTTTTAGAAAACTTTCATAATTCTAAATTTATACAATGGAAAAGCTTTTACATACTTACTTACTTTCTTCAATTAGAGATATGAAAATTAGTGTTTTCTGCACATAGAAATCATCAATCAATCATTGTTAGACCACAATTAGAAACCTGGAAGCACTGGATGGCCTTTTCGTCCTGGTATGGGACTCATCAGCAGTGTGCATCCACGACTCCTGCACCTCACACGACTCGACGAAACGGCCGTCCAGCGCTTCCAGGTTTCTAATGGTGGTCTAACAATGGTTGATGTGGCATAGGCCGCTGAACAGTGTTTTCCAACCTACTCTGTCTTGGGCTCCCATTTACAATTCTCTCCAACTTTTGTTCATTCTTCTCATATCTTTCTCTATTTCTCGGCGTAATGTGTTTCTTGGCCTTCCTCTTTTCCTTTTACCTTGCGGGTTTCATGTGAGGGCTTGTCTTGTGACACAGTTGGGTGCTTTCCGCAATGTGTGTCCTATCCACTTCCAGCGCTTCTTCCTGATGTCCTTCCCCACTGGAATCTGGTCTGTTCTTTCCCACAGTAGGTTGTTGCTGATGGTGTCTGGCCAATGAATTTGAAGTATTTTGCTTAGATAACTGTTAATGAGTACTTGAATCTTCTGGATGATGGCTTTCGTAGTTTTCCAAGTTTTCGCTCCATATAGTCAAGACAGTTCTACTACCTCTTTGTTTATCACTTCATATCGAAATCTATACTCCGCCTAAGGCCCTTCTGCGGCTACTGCCGGTCCCAAGCCCGGATAAAGTAGGTGAGTTGGACATAATTTTGGCGGCCCCATCCAATAAAAAAACTAACTCGCTAAACAACGCTAACCAGAAAAATCAATTCAAAAGCTCACTTCATATAGAAATCTAACAGGTTCAATAGAAAATGAAGCTTATTTCATTGGCATTACGGGGTTGTGAAGAATGTTAAGTTTTTTTTTAAAACCATGAATCGATCAATGTTAGATCACCATTAGAAACCTGAAAAATCAGCTATTTAAATAGCTATCTGCTGTTTTTATTCTCGTGCTCCTTATGGCTTGTTCACTACCGTTTTCACACAACCGATGGGTTATAGGATCTCTCTTTCCCTAGATCTCTGATCAGAATGCAAAAGGAAATAATACAAGACTTTTGTGATTTCGACTTATTATTCACACAATCACAGGAACGAGGTCTGTTACCTAAAAAGCTTAGCAGCGACCTTACTTACTTACTTACTTTCACCTGTTACCCCCAATGAAGCATAGGCCGCCCACCATTGTTCTCCAACCAACTCTCTCCTGGGCTTTCCTTTCTAGTTCTGTCCAATGTTTGTTCATTCCTCTCATATCTTTCTCTATTTCTCGGCGTAATGTGTTCCTTGGCCTTCCTCTTTTCCTTTGACCTCGAGGGTTCCATGTGAGGGCTTGTCTCGTGACGCAGTTAGGTGCTTTTCGTAGTGTGTGTCCTATCCACTTCCACCGCTTCTTCCTGATTTCCTCCTCCACTGGAATCTGGTTTGTTCTCTCCCACAGTACTTTGATGCTGATGGTGTCTGGTCGACGGATAAGAAGTATTTTGCGTAGACAACTGTTCATGAACACTTGTATCTTCTGGATGATGGCTTTGGTAGTTCTCCATGTTTCCGCTCCATACAGTAGAACTGTCTTGACATTTGTATTGAAAATTCTGATTTTGTTTTTGGTTGAGCAGCGACCTTGACTTCTAATTCCTAAGAAATAACTTATATTCAAATTGCAGATGGAAGACAAAAAGCGGAAAGTATGAAAAAAGAGTAATTTCCAAATTTAGTTTTGATGCGAAAGCCAAGTATATTCATAGATTCTGTAAGTTTATGAAAACACATTAACTTTATCAATAAATTTTGTAAACATCCAATCATAATTTGATACTTAATAATTAATATTAATAATCTAAAAACTTAACTAAAAGACTTTTAGATGAGAATTCTGTTAAATACTTAAAAAATGTAATCTAATACGATAGGTCCTCCAACTTTAAATGAACTCACAGTTAAATAGAAATTTTATTTGATATTTACTAGTGTTCAAGTTCAAAAATCCTATTTTTTTTATCGCAGTCTCAGTCAGTACTTGTCGGCTAAACAATATCGATCTGTGTTAGGAAGTTATGAATACCAGTCAATGTCTATTCTATTATTAAATATGACCTAGACAAAATATTAATAAGTGATACCGACATGTCTGTATGAACATTTTATTTCATTCACTCACTATTGAAGTGACATACGTATGAATAATAATAATAATAATAATAATGAGTAGATATTGATTCAGCTTCTCATCCAATAGTAATTAATTTTTAAAGTAGTTATCGATTATCAATTTTTTTA